CCGAGTCATTTAGACAGCCGTTAGCACATGATTCTCCTTATGGGGACCTGATATGTTTAATATGCTGCTGAGAATATAGCCCAGAAGAAGCATATAGTATAGCTTTTATTTTGGAAAGAGCCATTTCTCTGTAATAAACTCTCTTTTCTAAAGATGAGTGATTTCTCCATCAGATAGATTTTTTTTTTTATCCCTTTGTTGTTTCAGCAACATTAAATTTAAAAACTGTACTTTTGAGTTAAAATACATATTTATAATTTTAATAAATGACAAATTAAAAAAGCATGAACATTTTTTTGTATCGAAAAAATATCAAACTGAACCTAACCGTGAATTTTGTGTATGTTGCACCCCTATTATCTATTGCTATTATGCGCTGTGTCGTCTCACAGCGTGACTATTATGTAATTTCTTCTTTGTCTTCTGTTTACTATTACTCATTTGGCAACCCATTTAATTAGAGCAGGTAGTTGTACTGCCCTCTAGTGGTAGAGAATATAATTGTTCTGCCCGTTCTTCATGCTGATCGCTTAGAGTACTAATGAGGTGGAACCAGATAATCTCCCACAGCACACCTGATCATTTCTCACAGCACACCTATGTTTGGGAAACACTGCCTCAGACGACTATGACCTGGACGACTGTGAACCTTTGCAGACTTAAGAAAAAGTCTGAGTGCAGGGAAAAAAGCCAAGTCAGGTCCCTCATTATACAGTAGTTACAAGTCAGTGACTCATCCCTCGACTCTTGAAAACCTAAAACCTCGTTCTGAATCCAAGAGACCTCAGGGGTCGTTGGAAATCTTGAAGTGTGACCACGGCTTTTGGAAAAGAGGAAATAAGCTGAATATAAAATGAGACATTACTAAAGGACAGAACAAGATTGATGATGGTCCTCACCTTTATTATTTTGGACAGGTGAACACACAAATGTATTACTAAGCCCATCCAAGAACAGGAGTTGATAGCTCACACATAACATTTACATGTCATTACAGAATGGAGGTTGCTGGAGCAGAACAGATGAAATCCCTGCAGCTGTGTTATGTCATATATCATCTCTGTGTTAACAGAGTGTAAAGGCGGTGGGAATACGAACGTGCAATTAAACATATAACGCCAGCTACCCTCTTAACAACCTGTGCAGCCTAACTGACAGTCATGCAGAAAGATCCACTTGAAGACAAGAGTATAAAAAAGGCAAACCACGCTATTTTATTAGCTTATTTAACAGCGCCGTAAAATGATAACGGGCCCGTTACAGTTTTACCAACACCGTGTTTTGCATGGAGCCGTATTCTGCCCTGTAAAATTTTCCCAACATTTGCCTTTTCCATCCAGCAGCTGTATGTCAACAAGGACCTGTGCCTGAGTTGTTAGCGCTTCTGCTATCATGTTTTATTGTGCCACACAAATCTGGTGAAATGGGCCATGATACAGTAAAATGTGCTTTCATGAGCTGCTTAGTTTGAGGGCACAGATACTGTTGTGGCAGCAGCTTTCATCACGTCTCCTATTATTAACCGTAGGGTGCATTTTGCAGGGAATGATACTGTGTACTGGACAGACATGGGACTGAACAGAATATCCCGAGCCAAACGCGACCAGACCTGGAGGGAGGACGTCATTACCACCGGCATCAGCCGTGTGGAAGGCATTGCTGTTGACTGGATCGCTGGTTAGTACCGTCACTGCTGGAGCCCTGGAGTCATTTCCACAGGCTGTCAAGTTTGTATCGATTGTTGAAAATTCACACTTTAGGTGCCACGCCTCTAGTTATAGCACCGAGTCGATGTCATTGTTGTGATCTGAATTGCCAAAAGCCATTAGGCTTTGGTGACAAAGTGCACGCAAAGAATTTGATTTAATGAACTGTGTCTTTAACTTCTGTGTCGTGGAGGATGAATTCTACTTTAATTACATGTATGAATATTGCTTCTTTCCAAACAGGCAACCTGTACTGGACAGACCACGGTTTCAATCTAATTGAAATCTCTCGCCTGAATGGTGCATATCGCTCAGTGGTCATATCAGAAGGACTCGATCAGCCCAGAGCCATCGCTGTACATCCACAGAAGGGGTAGGAAATGACTCTGTGTGTGTGTGTGTTTGTTTAGCCTACAATCAGTGCCATCTCTATAGTTTTAGAAACCACTTACTGTAAACAGCAGATATATTAAATACATTTGCTGCTAAAACTAGAAACCAAAGCAGGTCTTATTAAGCCAATTCTGGCTCATCGCATATTCGCTCAGTGGCCACTTTATCCAGTCAGCCTATTATGTGATACCACCATAGCTCACAGAACCAGTTAATATCAAATTCACAGAGCGAAAAAAATGGCTGACTTTGACTCTGGTGTGGCTGCTGTGTGCCAGACAGGCTTGTTTGGAGCCGTCTAAAGCTTCAGATGTCCAAGGATGTTCACTTACAACAGCACAGTAAAGCAGTCAGTCTCCAGTAAGCAGCATTTACTGACACAATGTTGCCAAGTGTGCTGACTTCTGCTGAGCCATGCAGATGGCAGGCTGTACCCGTCCTGCCTGTTGCCAGCATCCCAGTGTGGCTCACGTTCATCCTCATAATACTGATCACTCATTATTTTAATTATACAACCTATTTCAGAAATACTTGTCCACAATTTACCTCCTTTAAGAGAATGGTGGAGAGTAAAGTGAAATTTAGGGCAGCTTGCTTTGTCCAGCAGGAGGATAATTATATAAATACATAAGAACATGCATATGTTACAATGTATCCAAATGTGCTGCACTTCTAAGCATTAATATGCACCATCCTACAAAGCAAATGTCACCTAAACAAAGATAAAAATGTTTTAAAAATCTACAGTTCAAATAATAAATGAGGTGTATCTGGGCAGATATCTGTTCTGGACCGAGTGGGGTCAGAACCCCTGCATCGGCCGTTCCCGCCTGGATGGATCAGACCAGGTTACCCTGGTCAGCTCGGGCATCACGTGGCCCAATGGAATTTCCATAGACTATGAGGTACAGTCGCACACAGATAATATATCATGTACGGTACCTGTCTCCTTGCTCACCTTACAGTCTTGTGGCTAACATCTAACCATACAAAGAGCTGCAGTTTGTGTTATGCATTTTAAAATTACCTTCCAGGAAAATACATTATATTGGTGCGACGCACGCACGGATAAGATCGAGAGGATCAACCTTGAGACCGGTGAGAGCCGAGAGATTGTACTGTCAATGGCCAACGTAGACCTGTTCTCCGTGGCCGTGTTTGGGCCTTACATCTACTGGTCTGACAGGTAATTTGTTATTTTCTCAAATGCAAACTCTTGCATTTGCTTGCAAAGCCTTTATAGTAACCTGGCAGCGCCCTTCCCCTCCTTTCAAGGCTTCCAAGGAGAAATATTACACGCTCCTGCAATCCTGTTTTTTTTAATACTCCAGACAAATATTAGTGTTTGTTTAGGGTTTGACAAAGGTCTGAAATTAAAAACAAAATCAATCAAAATGTATTTCTATAGCACATTTACAAAGACATCAAAGTGCTTCACACGAGTGCTGCAGGCGAATTCCAACAATAGACAAAGAAAAGAAGAGTAATGGTTACAGTAACAACTACAGTTATGTAAAACAAATGCAGACCAGGTGGAAGTCAAACTAATTAGCTTCAAAGGCTACATTGAACAGTTTTTTAAGAGTGATTTAAACGATTCATTGGATTCTGACATGCGGATATCAAGTGGAAGATTATTCCAGTTTGGGTGCGGCGATAGCAGAAGCACGGTCCCCTCTAGTCTGTGATGATGACAGTGAAATAAAACTGAATTTAGATGTAGATTCTGATGTGTATTGACAAAATGTTTTAGTGTTTTCAGCTGAAAGGATGCCTCCTGCAGTATGTCTGTGTAACTTCCCCATCCTTCACCCCACCACGCTCACACAGAGAACCTTATTATTGTTCTTCTCCGACTCTCCTGACTTTCAGGGCCCACTCAAACGGTTCAATCCGACGAGGCTTGAAGACGGATCCCAGTGAGGCTGTGACCATGAGGAGCGGTCTAGGGGTTAATTTGAAAGATGTGACGGTCTTCACCAGAGGCAGAGAAAAAGGTGCGTTTTTAAACATTATAGCCGCACAGTTTCACTTCCTGTCTCTTATTATGCTCGTGGATTTTGATGCAATCGAATTCCAAATTTGTGGCTCCCAGACCGTAGATTGGATTTTCATCTGACTTGTATAGGCGGGCCAATTTAAACGTGATTGCTCACAGCAGAAACGGCTGCCAGTGACTAATCAAACACATGTTGTGCTTTGAAGGCACCAACCCCTGTGCCAGAAGTAACGGAGGCTGCCAGCAGCTGTGCTTCCACCTGGGCAGCGGTCGCCGGACCTGCTCCTGTGCACACGGGCGCTTGGCAGAGGATGGCTTTGCCTGTGAGCGCTATGAAGGTTATCTACTCTACTCTGAAAGGACTATCCTGAAAAGCATCCACCTTTCTGATGAAAATGACCTCAACTCACCCGTGCAGCCTTTTGAAAATCCCACTTTTTTCAAGAATGTCATAACGCTGGCCTTTGACTACAGTCAGGAGACAGCTGGAGCCAACCGCATCTTTTTTAGCGATGTCCATTTTGGAAATATCCAGATGATTAACGACGACTGGACAGGAAGATCCATCATCGCAGAAAGTAAGTGGATTCCATATTGACAGTGTTTCTGTTATTTTATGTCATCTAACAAGTCCTCTGTGGGAAGCTGTGGGTCCACCACTGCAGACGATGAAGAGTGAGGTTTTCTGCAGTGTGGATTAGCCGTATTTGGTGTGTTTTCAGTCAGCAGTTTCATGTGCCTGACATCCGGAAGCTTGCACTTTATGCACAGAGCTGCATGTTTGTACACTCTCTAATTTATCCGTCCTCACCTGTACCTGTTTTGGCTGTCTGCTGGGTTGCAAGCCATAAAAATGTAGTTTGACTGTAAAGTGGCACCGTGGCTGACGCTGTGCTGCTCCGATGATCCGTCTGCTCTGAGGAAATTGTGCATGCATCTTTCTCCTGTAGTTAGGAAGCAGGGTTGTTAAGAAATCAGTGTAGCACTGATGTACGTCAAGAGGGACATTTCTTCTTCAATCAGTTTTTTTACTCTTTTACTCCTTTGAAAAGACCAAATCAGCCTGGTTTAAATGAACTATGTTCCAAGCTTTCTGCATACTGACTGAACATGGACCGATCCCTCTCTCTGTACTGCAGCTCAGTCAGTCCTGTCGTGATGAGCATGACTGGAGTCAGATGAGCAGCAGAAAGTCTCCGTTCTGCACAGCTCACGTCCTCTGGCATTCAGTGACGTTTCCACAGGGAGCAGAGCTCAGCACCTTACCACCGCCCCCTCGCGCGGAGAGGCTAGCACAGTGTTACTGAGCCACTCTCACCCATCCCCCGACCCATCTTTAGTGCTCCTGCTGAGGGAGCTTTCTACTTATTTATTTATCTTCTAGAAATGAACAAGCGTTACCGAGAACCATCTGTCAGGATTTGTAAGTGTCCTTCACACCTTCAAACTTGTGAAATGCATAATGAAAGTGGTGATAATAATAATAATGCACGACAATACCACTGGAAACAAGCTCTTTTGATGCAGCCACAGTGCACAGAGAAATACCATCCTGTGACCCTGCTGGTTTCTAATGAGTTTGTTTGTGTGTTGATTAAAAGCAGCACATCCACCTGCTCCATACTTCTTTTCACGGACCACGTTTAGGCAGCGGTGGATCTACTTCTGCAGCATCTTCAATTTTATTCTAAAAGTTTCTGCCCGAATCCTGTCATTGAGGAAAGGTGAAGATGTTAATCATGTATATTTCCCTAATTAAACTCTGCGTCCCCCATTAATTAGTCCCTCGCCTGGCCAACAATTTGAGAGAAACTCCAAGCTGCCAGACGGCTTTTATTGCAAGCTATTAATTAGTGGTCGGCTGACTCAGGTAGAGTCTTAAGTATTCTGGAGTTTGGTTTATGGGTTTTTATATACTGGGGTGCAGCCACATTAACTCATACTGGCCACATGTTTGCCATTCAGACAGTTAGAATTGGCTCTGACAGACAAAAGCGTGACAGGAAAAATCACGAGACAATCGTTTGGCAACTGAATTACTTTAATGTACACTTAATTAATGTTTGCATCTTAGCTGTTCTTGATGGAGACCATCAGAGGTTTTGTACCTGTACTCTGCTGGAGCTGCACTTCCACTGTTTGGGTTAGAATAATAATGATGGATTGCATTTATATAGCGCTTTTCGGGGCCCTGAAAGCGCTTTACAATTCCACTATTCATTCACTCTCACATCCACACACTGGTGGAGCTACAGTTGTAGCCACAGCTGCCCTGGGGCAGACTGACAGAAGCGAGGCTGCTGTATCGCACCATCGGCCCCTCTGGCCAACATCAGTAGGCAACGGGTGAAGTGTCTTGCCCAAGGACACAACGAACGAGACTGTCCGAGCCGGGGCTCGAACCTGCAACCTTCCGATTACAAGACAAACACCCAACTCTTAAGCCACAATCGCTCCTAATGCTCCTGTCACCATTGGTCCCACATTGGACTTTGCACATCTGCTCCAGATGTTCCTTCAGCCCCTGGTACTCCTTTATTTTCTCTCTGATATTGCTGGGATTTGCACGTCTATATTAACTACAGTCTTCTGCTCCTTGTCAGCTGCCGCTATGCCTGGTTGGCTGAAAATGAGCTGCTTATCTGTCTGAAACTTGAAGTCCCACAGGACTTTGGACTGTTGTTCTCGACCACCTTTGGTGGCGTCTCCTATCGGGACTTGGGAACATCTGAGACACATAGTCCATATGTGGCACAGATGTTTCTGTACAGCAGCGCTCCCCGCCCTTTTATGTGCCACGGACCGGTTTAATGTCAGACAATAGTTTCACGGACTGGCCTTTAAGGTGTCGCGGATAAATACAACAAAATAAAATGACAAAAACTGTGGTATTTTGTAACTATAATAATAAACGTGAATTCACTGAGTAATTGTGTAACTTTATTAGCAGCATCCTCCTGAAATGCACCAACAACATTGAGAGTAACATCCTCCTCTCGGGTCCCTATGGTAACGCAGAAATATTTCTTTCAAAATAAGACACACAGCTACATCACGGGAAACCAAGTTATTGATAAAAACTCTGAAAACCATAAATTTCACAGCCTCAACTCTCACAGCCCAGTACCAGACGAGTCATGGACCGGTACCAGGCCGTGGCCCGGGGGGTTTAGGACCGCTGGTGGACACTATCCCAGCCTCTGTGTACGCGGTCCCAGCTAGCCTTACTTCCTTACCAGGGAAACTGACCACTCTAGCATTAGTGCCTTGGATGTTGCACACCTTAATATGGTCTGTGTCAAGTGTTGAGGATCCAGGATATACTGACGAGAAGTGGGCTCATGGACACATGGGTGGATATTTTCTGCTGGTGCTTTTGTTGTTGTTTGTTTTTAAAATCTTTCTCATCACTTTCATAACTTAGATCAACAATGCAGTTATTGTGACCTTACTTCTCCACAATAGTGATATTGAGAAACACTGAAAGTCATATTCAGTCGATAAATCGAAGAGTAGAAAAAGAAAACTGCAGTGAGTAATCAAACATGAATATGACCAGATTTTCTGCTGAAAATCGCATCTCTCTGGAGGTTCCATCTCTGTCAGTCATATTCATGCAATAACAAGAGAAACTGCAAAGGTCTTTTCATATTCGATGTTTTGGAAATTGGTTTGCCATGAAAACACATTCGGTTCCTGAGTGACTTTTGCATCAACAAATAGCTGTCTGTCCAGTGTAGTGAGGCATGAAGTTATTTCCCTGTCAGTCAGAAAAGAAACACGATCCCAATTCTAACACAATTGGTGCCTGCCATCTGTTACAAGCAAAGTCAGTGCTTTCACACATTTATACACAACAGACAACTCTGAGGTTTGGAGCCCGAGATGACAGCGGCATATAGCTGGAATCTGCATTTACAGATAAATAAATGAACAATAAACGTAATGAATGCCAGCTCCAAAGTGATTATTTCTTTTGTTTTACTCTATGTGATGTTTTAGATGGGCGCTCTTGCTTTAGTACGATTATTTTTCCCATGTGACTCCGTTATTCGCTAGAATAAAAAGGCAGACTCGTAACGCCGACTCTCATTCAGGTCACTTTGTTGCTCCGTGGTCTGATGTTTCTCTTGTTTCAGATGTGGGTTCAGTGGAAGGTCTGGCTTACCACAAAGGTTGGGACACTCTGTACTGGACCAGCTCCACTACATCCACCATCACCAGACAAACTGTGGACCAGAGTCAAGCGGGCGCCATCAGTAGGCAAGCTGTGGTGACGCTTTCAGAGGAGGACCACCCACACGTCCTGGCCCTGGATGAGTGTCAAAGGTCAGTCGTCTTTCTCGTAATGCACTTTTCACCATTCGCTCATGCATCTGTTAGTTACATGTGGGACTTTAGCTCAGAATATTATCTGCTTGGTATTTGAGGTGCTCCAAGTTTGATCACCACAAAGGTGATTGTTCTCAAGGACAGTTTTGCTTTTGTCATGCCACGCGCTGCATTCCAGTCACATGATCATGCTCCCAGTTCTGTTTCATGGTTCAAGAGCGTATATAACAACATAAACCAGTCATGAGTATTTAATGGGGGTGAGCGGTTCTAGTTTAATTATTGCAGTGCAGCACCTCAACCATCTAGTTATGCGTTACACATAACCTCTTACTTATGTTACATGTTATTTGTAATACTGTGAGCTGTGACTCAGGCAGTGAGTACTTGGCTGTGCTCGGCCTGCGCTCTGTTTCAACATCGCTCATCTTTACAGACGGTTGTAAAGGACTGATGTTGAATTAGCCATTTCTGCAGAGTTTTGCCCTTTTGTGCAATAAACTCACTGCTCAGAAGTACGTGCCCCTTCCTGTTTGCTTCCTGTTCGCTTCCTGTTCGCTTCCTGTTCGCTTCCTGTTTGCCTCCTGTTTGCCTCCTGTTTGCCTCCTGTTGGCTTCCTGTTTGCTTCCTGTTTGCTTCCTGTTTGCTTCCTGTTGGCTTCCTGTTGGCTTTCTGTTTGCCCCCTGTTTGCCCCCTGTTTGCTTCCTGTTTGCCTCCTGTTTGCTTCCTGTTTGCTTCCTGTTAGATCAGTGAACAAATTTTAATATTAGGCAAAAATAACAGTAAATACAAAGTGGAGTTTTTACATAATGGTTTAAAAAATATAATTTTCCATTGATAAATAATTTCATTTATTAATTTAAAAAAGCTGATTAAACCTGCCTTTGTGAAAAAGTAATTAACCTAATAAACATAACTGGTTGTTTCGCTGTTGGCAGCTAGATGTCATTTCTGCTCGGTCTTTGTTATCATTGAACCCTGAACTCTGAGGCCTGCAGGTCTCTGTTCTGGGTTCTTCTGTGACCTCCTGGATGAGTCGTTGATGGACTCTTGGAGTCATTTTGGGAAGCTTCAGCACTGTTCCAGATTCTCTCCATGTCGAGATAAAGACTCCCATTGTGGCTCAGCGGAGACACAAAGCCTCTGTAACCTTGTCCAGACTGATAGATACCAGCGACTTGTTTCTCAGCAGATTACAACATAATGTGTTGATGATCTGAAACAAGTGTGTGAGTGTGACAAATACGAAAAACAAACAAAGAAAACTAAGAAATCAGGAAGGGGGGATACTTTTCCACATCACAGTACACCTGAACCTTTTTCCACGTCCACGAGCTGAAGTCAGCTGATTACTGTTCAAGGAAGAGAATTATTGATGATTTTCTTCAATCCATCGATCATGGAGATAATTGAAGAGCCTTTGTAATGCATTGTAACTGTTATGTGGTTAGTGAGTTAGTACAGTCACTGCATTGCTCCATTATGCCAGCGCTGCCTGTCACACATTTTTATTAGAAGTACAGCTGACAACTATAATGCATTGCGCTCAGGTTTCTCCAGAAAGTCTGTAAATAAATTACACTTGATTCAAAAGGTTGTTGCCAGTTTTAACTAGATGATATTACTGCTGTTTTAAAATCCATATACTGGCATCCTATTAGTTGTAGGACACATTTTATGACCCCCGTTCTTGTCTATAAATCTATGCATGGAGGTGACTCTTGACATGGTGCCAAGATGTGCCGAAAACAGACTCTGAAATCCACAGTGTGTCTGCTGGTCGCCATTAAGACCTGCTGTCACACAAACTGTCGCTTTCTGGATCTTTGCACTAAAACACTGATGTGCTGCCTCTGCTTTAGCCTCTCTTCTGCTTAGAGTGTAGTACTGCTGTGGGTACTGCTGTAGTACTGTAGTACTGCTTTAGTACTACTTGACTCTGCTGTAGTTGTTGGTGTTCCTGTTGTTTTTTCTCCTGATGATGAAACTTGGGAATATTAGGGCACATTTCTGAATGCTGGTATTTCTGCAGCCTTGAGATCTTCCTGATCGTTCCGTCGAGCAGGCTTAGCCTTCAGTTGTTTTGTGCATAGTGCAGTAGCACTGAAATCTCATTTATTTAACTCTTAGCTTTTGAAAAGATTCAGGTGCATCTTCTGCTTCTAAAAAGTAGCGTATAAATATTCCTCCTCTTCTGTTGTAAGTTATGTTTAAAACCTGTATTTCATGCATATAAAAACGTGCACAGCTGCACAGAGTGAGTACAGCTCTCTCTCCTTTATACTAACTAAATTAATTTCTTGACCTCAGACTATCCTTGGTTGGCAGTTTGGCACCGTATCCATCCCACTCTAGAATCACTGTCTGATAATTAGAATTCAAACACTGATGATTAATTAGTAGCCCCTGGTTGTGACTTCTGACCTGAATCTTTATTATCGCACTGGAGAGGACTTCCATGACTTCATTACAGCGAGAAGAGAGAAGCCAGAGTTTGAAATCCGTGTTCTCCTATTTGAAAGCATTTTATCTGGTTGTGACTTTGCTGCATGGCTCATACAGCTAATCCTATAAAGACCAATATGTAATTTATTTTGATTTACTTCCCTGTAAATAACTGTTAATTATCACAGAGCATGAATAAATGACCTTTATCTTAGAATTTCTGATGCTAATCCAGTTTATCTAATTGAAACAGAGCTGCGCTCTTCAGGCCAAAAAGGAGAAGCTGATGAGGATTTGGCAGCTGTGGAATGATGCTGATCATTGACTGACATGACTGCATAAAACCTCCAGCTATTTACTAAAGCGGGTTTGTCCTGTGCACGTGTCTGTGCACAGCATCAGATTCTCTGCAGCACAGTCTTCTACACCACCTTCTATAAAAAGCTGTTATTTCTAAGCCCGTCTGAAGCTTCAGGTGACACATTTGTTTTGCGTTCTTGCTGAGGTGGTGTGAATTTTTAAATGATTGTGAGAGGTAGTGCATCTTTTGGAGAGGGAGGAAGTCCCTAATGAAATTACTCCACTGTTTTTAATTGTGGAAGAGAACACTGAGGTTTGCTTGCTGATGTTAAAAAGCTTTGTTTGGTTTTGTGTTTCCTGTTTTTCAGCCTGATGTTTTGGACCAACTGGAATGAGCAGAGGCCAAGCATCATGAGATCCACCTTAACTGGCAAAAACATAAGGATCGTCATCAGCTCTGACATCTTAACGCCCAATGGACTGACCATTGACCACAAAGCAGAGAAGCTCTACTTCTCAGATGGGACCCTTGGCAAGATTGAACGATGCGACTATGATGGATCCAGCAGATATGTGAGTGTGATCCCACTGAGCAACAAACTCAAATGGTCAGGGCTGAGATCAGGTTCAAAGAGTAAGTAAAGGTCCAGTAGCTGTGTAAAGCGTGCAAAACCTTTGTTTCTCATGAGACGTGTCACTTACATACAGCACTGTGCCATCCATCACCCACCCCTCCTTTCTGTTTGTCTCTGTATAATCTGCCACAGACTCTTGTGTCATTTGGCACAACTCAGCCAAATTTCAAAGATGATCATTGATGATCATTTCTGATCAGTGTAGATAGGTTAAAAACAAACATCAAATAGGCTCTAATTGTTCGCTTTGCACAAAAGTAGAAGAGCGTGACGCAAACTGCATCCAGGACAGAAGCGTCTGCACAGACAGCATGCTAACACAGAGCTCGTGAAGAACTGAGAGTGAGATTGTAGTGAGTGCCTGCTGAACCGAGCCCAGCAGCCAGAGCCTGATGAACAGTCAGACTTACCGTGGACGCCGTGTTTCTCAAGTAGAAGCACTGTGGCGACTCTTTGGGCTGATCTTGCAGTCAGGTTTGCGATCATACATAAAACCGTAAAGAAAGATGCGTCTTCATTATGATAGAGTGTATGTGACTGTAGCCACAGGTTTACAGAATTAACTGATAATTGGGTACAACAAGTAATTATGCAAATGCTGCATTACTTTTTAGAAGTAATGTGTAATAAATAGTTGTTTTTTTGAGAAACTGTGTGGACATGACACTGGTTCATTCATTTAGTTGAGTGCTTTTATGCTGTTTTTACACTTGAAAGGTTCAAGGGGACGTTTTAAGGCTTAACACAAAAAAGAAAAGCTTTCCTCTGAAAACGGTGCGAGGAGCGAAGAACGAGTGAAGCAGCAGCCAAAGACAAAGTCTGAAAGATGTTCACGAAGCTTTTTGTCACGATTACTTTAAAAATGACAAAAACTTCTGGGTAAAACATAAAGAAATGAGTTTTTTCGCTGTACTCTGCATTTACAGTGAGTAGTGCCTCTGTGTCATTGTGTGGAGCACCGTGTGCTTATTTATAGAGCCTCTCCACCTTAATTTCATTTTTCATTATAATATTTTTATCGTTGTCCAAAAAATGAGCAACTGTTTTAATCAAATTTCATTCTGGCATCGTTTCAAATCCCTGTAACTCACACAGCGCTTTATAAAAGAGTGTCACTGACACCGCTGCACTACTGCAGGGTGGTACAATGCAGTCCAGCTGCACGCTGCCATTTAGTGCATGAATGAGCGCACGCCACCCTGACTGTCACGCAGCATGTAACAGCAGGGCCTGATGCCTTTTGTTCTAATATATATCTAATATATATTGTTCTTTTTTATTCTTTTTCTATATTTTGTCTTATTTATTATTTTAATTTTAGATTATTTTTTTTATCATGCAGCCAAAAAAAAGTCTACTTAAAACTAATGAAGACCTCTGGCGCTTGATACTGTCGGCTCAGGCGTGCATGTTTTCACATATGCAGTGAAGAGATGACTTTCTTACCTTTGTACAAACAGGTGGATGTTTTTTCATCCACATTAATAAGTGACCGCCAGCTCTGTCATCCACATTAGTCAGGTAGACTCAACAAAAGGTCTTCACTTTAATGAACTTTATGGCAATATTAAGGCTGCTGCTTTCATTCCCATTTGCTTCTCTAACAGGACTGAATTTGCACATTTTCTAGCTGCTATTATGCACAACAGAGCCACTGGCAAAGCAGCCAAAATCCATCCCTGTGCACAAATCGAGCTTTTCGTAATGTCTAATTATTCGTCTGTTTATACTGCAAATCAACAGGAACTCTGGATACTGACGCAGTGAAAACAGCACACAGACGAATGAAAACTATAGTTGAGTTAATCCTTTCATTCATTTCACCCTGAGGACCGTCCACTCCTGTCGGTCACCTCACACTTTCTCCATCCACAGCTGTTACCTGGGTCAGTGACCATGTGCTCCATCTTCTTCTTTAAAAGTCTGAGAAGTTTCATATCTGAAATTACAGCACAGGTCACACTCAGCTTTGCATGCATCCAGAAACAAAAGGCTGATGGTGAGAACACTTATTCATGTGTGGATCATACATACAGTCACATTTATGAAACACGTTACCTGCCTGCCTCCAAAAAACGATTTTTACAAACAAAATACTGACATTTGACTCGGTTCAGTTTGTGTCTTTTGCCACTTCAGTGATGTTGAACTGATAATCTGTGATATCACAAATAAAACTGTTTTTGTAGGAAAAAGCACGATCACCACCATATTTGAAATCATTTGTAATTTTAATGCGTGAACATCAGAGGAACAAAAACTGCCCGTGCATGGTGATGGTTAGAGCCTCTGTGCTTAAAGGGAGTGAAAGAATCAATGTTTTTGGCTGCGATTATCGCCGTCTCTAATACCCCCGTAGTGTTTGTCCGATCCCAACAGTAACCACAGGTACAGCAGACACAGCTGTGCTTCAAATATTCCTCCTGGAAGTTTGTGTGAGGAAGGATTCATGGACGGAAAGTTCTGAAATGAAGCTCTCAGATTCCAGCCGAACTTCTGGGTCGCGATACTTTATCTTTGTTTGTCACTCGTCTCCGATGGCGTCCATAAAGTTGTTCTTAGCCAGAGTAAATAAAAGTCTGTGAAAAGAGTTCACGTTGTGTCCATAAAGATTTCATGCATATAATAGAAGCTGGAGAGAAGCAGCCTGTCCGAGGTGTGCAGAACGTTACAGTATAAGGCTGTGGGTTTAAGGTTCGCCTTAATATGACCCCTGCTGCTCAGCACTTTAGCCCATCTCAATTAGTCACCCATATGTTTGATGAGCCAGGTCACTGGGCTCAGAAAGTCTTCACCTGTGGGACCCCACCTGCCCCTGCTGCAGTGTGCTCCTGCTAATGAAGACTTTGCAGTGATACTGCTCGGGGAGCAGATACTCCATTCCAATTAAAAAGTGTCAATTAAACAAAGATAGCTGACTGTCGACTTCAGCACTTATCCAGACTGTTGTTATGGAAGACAGCATGAAGACAGCACACATGAAACCGACGATTTCAAAGGAAAACGAATAAACAAAAGATACATTTTTTGCACCAGTGTTTAAATCAACAGCAAAACAAATCTGTGTGGATTCACAGAATTAAAGCAGCACAGGTCCCAGAACTAGTGTGAAACACTCTGCAAAGCGCCAGTTTTGTTGTGACTCACATGCATGCAAACTTTGATGGCAGCAGAGTATTCTTGAGGATACGACTAGTCCTCTCTTTACGGCAGCAGTGCCATCACATGCTGGAAGAGCGGTTAGCGAGGACAAGATCATTTGCAGAGCTTTGTGCTCTGTGCCATTTTGAGAGTGGGGACTCCGTCATTAACGGAGGCAATGCTTCACAAAGGGCAGCGGAGTACACGATGAGGGGGTATGTCAGCATGTTTAGCTGAAAAAAAACAAAGATGCCCTTTTACCCCCGAGAGAGCGAACGTCCATGGAAAGCTGTCTGGAAGCAGTTTGTGTCGTTTTACTTCAGCAGCGTTCGTAAATCTGAGGCCTGTTAAAGTAATCAGCTGGGAGGTGGTTGACGTGACAATTAAAGCGTTATATTTGAATATTGTTGAATGAAGAGAATCTGATAAGAAGCTATGAAATATTTTCAATTTTCACGAGTTCGGCACAAAACTAATGCGTTTCTGGCCGTAAACCGAACGACTCCCAAATCTAATTTCCTGTCAATATGTTCTACCCGACCCATCTGGTGGCTCCCTCTCTTCTCTCTGTCTCTCACTTACCTGATGGCCAGTTGTTGCTTCCGCACGCTGCGCTGCTTTAATCAACACCTGTCCCGTTAATCCCACTATGGCAGAGGGCTAATGTGATGTCACTTACAAGCCTGTTCTGCTAATGGCTGAGACTACAGAGCTGCTTCCCCACCACGACCACCCGCACCCCTCGGCCCTCCACGAGCCTGGAGAGTCGCCGAGGGTGTCGTCTGATGGATTCTTGCCTTTCAGTGGCGCTGTCATTTACTCCCCCAACATCTGGGTTAAGCAGTCAAGTGGGCGGCGGGGGTGACGTCAAAGTGACGTCACTGATCTCTCCGACCTAACAGCCGTGTTCTCTTTACCTGTTTTTAGGTCATAATTAAATCAGGACCTGGAAACTTCTACGGGCTCGCCATCTATGCAGACTTCATCTACTGGTCAGACTGGGCCCGCAGGTCTGTGCTGCGATCAAACAAGTACACAGGCGGCGACACCAAAGTACTTAGAGCAGATATTCCCCACCAGCCAATGGGAATTATCGCTGTGGCCAAGGATACCAACAACTGTGAGTGTTTGAACATCTGGGATACGGCGAATTTCATAGCCACTGCATGCAGAGTCGTTTCTGCAAATATTTGTGTGTTGCGTGTTTGCACGAGCCGTGGCGTGTTTTTGGACGGATATTAGACACATTAATGTTGTTTTGGATCATTGACTGAAAGTGTGAGGGTGGTAAATGTAGTCAGAGCGTGCATGCCCTCATCTGTGTTCAGTCTGTTTTTTCTAAGTTCTCGATACAGTTTCTTCCCACATTGACGTTCGTTTCACTTCAGTAACATTTAGACCAATCCTGATCAGTCTTAATGTTTGATCACATTACATAAATAATCAACAGTTACACATTTCACGCGTGTTCTACCCAGATGTGTATATATAGAAGATACCCAACAAAAAACATATATGTAAAAGTGAATCTTAATTTAATGCAGAAAACACCAGGGCTGATAAATGAAAGTGGTCTTATTTAGAGCAGCTAGAAACTTAAGCCTCAGAGGTAATTAATATAAAAAGTGACTTTTGTTATAAAGGGAGTCTCTTAAGTGTCATAAAAAGTTTAATTTCCAAGTAGGGCAGAGGGATGTGGGTGTAAGTGCGTCCCATTGGTTGGACTTTGATGCCACATTTTTCCAGATTTGGGTTGAAATTTAAGGAATTTAAAACTCACTTTATACTTTTTTGTCTTTACATTTATCATAACCATATATCCTCTTTATAAATAATTACATATTTACAGTGGGGCAAAAAAGTATTTAGTCAGCCACCGATTGTGCAAGTTCCCCCACTTAAAATGATGACAGAGGTCAGTAATTTGCACCAGAGGTACACTT